TTTTTTTTTGCGGAACTGGGGATTGAACTTGGGTCCTTGCGCTTGCCAGGCAAGCACTTATTCTACTGAGCCATCTCCCCAGCCCTGGGTTTGCTTTTCTGATCTGCTCTGTCTTTATTGCCAATTGGTTTCCTTTGGTGGAGAGGCTTGATATTCAACATGACGTTTCTACATTCCCCATGGTATGTAAATCACATTGGAATAGACCAATGAGACTCGCTATTTAGAGGTTCTGGCACAACCAGGAGCCCTTTTGTGCTACAAATAGACACCATTATTAAAAATAGTAGAGCTGGCACATTTTTCATGTGTATGGAGGGGGAAGTGTTAAGTATTTTCTGTAGGGTGGGCAATGAATTGGTGGTCCTACTTGTTGAATAGTGCTCCTATCGCGGGCAGATCTCACCCTCTCGGGGGCGCTGATCTTGTTAGTTATACAGCAGTACGTGATTCATGCTCCCCCAGCCCACATCAGCCCTTGGTTCGTGGGAGCGACGCCTTCATGACTTGGTACTGTTGACAGGAAAGGAATGAGTAGAGGCGAGCAGCCAGCAGGGGGCGCCGTGCGGCTGCTGATGCGGGCGCTTCCTGCGCTTGCCAAGAGGGAATCTTTCAAAGGCCTGCGAATCAATTCCCGCTTTCTTCCCAGTGGATCACGACTGACTGGTACCAAACAGAAATTCAGGGAACCCGAACTTGCCTAGCTGGCTCACGAGTCCGGCCACTCTCCCAACTCCTTGCACAGGTGGGCAGCTCAGAGGCAGGCAGGGGGAGTGGACGGAAGGCAAGCTAGAAAGTGGCCCAGGCCCTGCCAGCTAGGGTTTTAGGCCAAGGGACTTTGCAAGCGGCTTGCCGAGATCCCGGTGTTGAACGGCCTTGTGGCCCGGGATGCACTGGTGCACGTGGGGAGCACCCGCCGGGGTACCAGTCGTTCTGAATCTCGGTTCTGCTGGAGGATTCTAAAACTTGGAACATAAACAGGGCCTTGGAAGTTCAGGAGGAGAGGAGAAAAGGGCAGTGCTGGGACAGTCCATCCACCTCTTCCCCAGAGTGTCCCCTGAACATGCTACATTTATATCTGTGTATAGAAGCAATACAGCATGTGCACGTAGTGCATGCGCGCAAAGACACACACATACACATGCACACACACGCATGTACACACACACTTGGCAGTGGTTCAATAACAGGTTCACAGATGAAAGAACAATCTGATGACGTCTAGCATTAAATAGTAAAAACAAATAGCTCATTCATTCTTCAAGGCAGAGGAAACATTCTCAGTTGAGCCGTCTGAGCTAATTAACAAGGCTCGTTCATTCCGCACGTTTACGCTGCGTGTTGGTGCTATTCTAGGTACTGCTGACAGCGATGGTGAGGACGGCAGGGGCCCCCATGCTCCCCGAGAGACAGCTTGAGAGCTGGGGCCTACGACGGGCACAAGGATCAGGGTGGCCTCTTGGGTGACCTGACACGAACAATGACAGGAAGAGTACATATCCAGGGGCAGCAAGTCCCAGGGAGGAGGGAACAGCACATGCCAAGGCCCTGAGGCAGAAAAAGAGATGGCATGTTGAGGGCAGGGTGAGGAGACTGAGGGGTTTGGAGGCCCAGAGCCCTCACCAGCAGCTGTTGCAGCAGGATTCTGCATGCCCAGGGAGCAGCCACTCCAGGCTGTGACACGGAGGAGCGAAATGCTGCCATGTATGTTTTTAAAAGCCGACCCAAGTAGCTGTTTGCAAAGCAGATCTTGCAGAGAAAAACCATGGAACAAGATGATCCCGGGCAGTGATGTTAGCCATGAGAGTGGCCACGGCTCGGCTCACAGTGGCCACTGTGGACGTGACATGTAGCCAGCATCGGGCCAGGTGTGTCCATGGACAAACTGTGTGTGCTGGGGTCAGGGGCAGAGAGGAGGTTGGAGATTTAGGCTAGGGCCAAATGTTAATGTGCCGTGCGGAGCAGCAGCAGGCTGGGGAGAGGCAGTCGTATCCACAGGAAGGTGGGAAAACAGAGCTCTTTTTTAGTGAGAAGCCTGCATTATAAAGCCGGCTACTCTGTAAAACACTGTAGCGCTTGGGGCTCCCTCTCGCCTTTGCACCTGGTGCTGCTCTTGGTGACGCAAAGGGATGTGAATGTCCAGTCTTCCAGTCCTAGACACCCCCCTCTGTTCCTCTCTAAGTCCCAGCTTCAAGTAAAGCCCTGTGCTTCCCCTCATCCCCAATCTTCTCTGATTTACTATTCGCTCCCCGTTAGCTCTCTGTTACATCACATTCTCTTCCTTGTGCTTCTGCTAATTGTTGTGCACTTAATAGAAAATTTGCTTCCAGGCAGGACACGGCTGTGGTCACTTTTTCCCTTAGAACAGCAAGGATCAGCCTCAACAGGCTGTTTACATCCTCCTCTGCCCTTGCGTGGCAATTAAGGGTCCCTAGCGTGGCTGATTTGTGGTGTCTTGGTTTCATGGGCCAAATAGTTACCTTGGTCCTTGGGCAGGAGGAAATGTGAGTTTCACACTCTGCCAGTGGATTATCTTTTTTTTTTCTTTTCTCTCTCTCTCCTATAAACCTTATAACACTAGAAATGGCTTAGTGCTACAGAGCATGCTTTTGAAACCATAAACACTTAAGTACATTTGGGTCCTTTTATTTGTGCTAAATCACAACCAATTTTAATGCTACATTCCAGTTCATAACCTTGTTCAGAATATTGTTGTTCGTTACTCTCAGATCATCAACTTGGAGCCAAGTGTCCTCCCCAGAGATTCATGGGGGCAGGATTTGGGGAGTTTGGTTCAATTAGCATCAATACATTTGCAAGCTTACATTCTGCCATTTAGGGAGTATGCTCTATTAAGCTGGATCTTGGTGGTTTGTGCTGAAAGAAATTTCCAGCAGATTTCAAAGTTCTTTCTTTTTTTTTCATTTATGTATTTGGTACAGGGTCTCAGTATACAACTCGGATTCCTAGTGATCCTTCTGTTTTACAGGTGTGCACCACCATGCCTGGATTTGGACGCTGGCTCAGCGTGCCCTGGGGGCAGGGCCAGCATGGCATGTGGGACCCGGGATCGAACCCTGGTCCCTGCGCTTGCCAAAGCAGGTGCTTAGTCTGCAGAGCTTATCTCGCTGGCCCATCCAAGCTCTTCTTTTCTAATGCTATTTAAGTTATATCTTTCCATGAGATACCAATAAGAGATAAGATACATTTTTAAAGTACAGATTCCCTCTTTCTTTTTATCAGGGGCATTATGTTCTGAATATTGCATTTCATTAATTATTCAGCCGTCAATTTACTGATCCACTTCTGACACTGGAGGATCTAGGAGAGAAGACGGGAATCTCGGGGCTCTGTGCTGTTGATTATATTTATTAAGAGCTTGGAGGAACACACAGCATGCCTGCTAGATGTACAGGTGATTCAAAGCTTAGATAGATGAGGATTAGAAATGAGAACCTAGGACACGCCGGCTGCTTAATGTCCCTTGTTTTTAACACTCGCAGTGACCTTGTAATACAGTTGAGGCCATCTGTGTAGTCATTTGGCTCAGTGACTTTGGAGTCAGCTAACCAGGTCAGGGTGACCTTGAAAAAAAGTCACTTGCATTTACTCAGTGTCATTTCTCCAATTTAAAACGTGGACAAGCATAGTCTCTACTTTCTGAGCTGGTATGAATTACGAGAGGTCCTGTGTGCCGTGTTTGGAACCCAGAAAACAGCAGATAAATGCCAGTTATCTTTCTCACTGTGGTTCCCATTTTATAGCCAGGGGGACAGGGGCTCGGAGCCCCTGAGTGTCGCCTGAAGGTCTCCCACCCAGTGTGTGAAGGAGCTGGAGTCGGCACCCAGTGTGTTCCCACTGCAGAGCCCACACTTTATACCACAGTATGCAAAGGATCAAGATCTCAAAAGCAAGAGCTGGTCTCTAGTTGCAGAGTGAGCAAAGGTTCCGTGCAACAGGGACCAAGACAAAGACATTCATTAGTGCTGAAAAAACATTGATACAAGCAGAGGGGCAGACAGTGCTGGTTTGATCATGTGGAGAAGAGATGTCTAGAAGCGGCAAGGACGTGAGCTTAATGGAAGAGAAGGCTGTCTGTCGTTAGGACAGCGCCGACAGTCTCGGGCAGCATCAGTACATCCTGTTCGGGTTGGTGATGACAATAATTACCCCGGCACACTTGGTGTCCATCACAGGACCTCTGCTGCACTGTGACCAGGTTTGAGAATGACATTTCCGGCAGGACAGAGTGTGTCCTTCTACTAAAGCCAAAGGCTTGGAGAACTGGGCCTTGGGGGGACGTTGCTGACTGGAAGGTGTCAGGACCCTGGGGAAATTGGTCCATCTCTTTGATTATTTGCAGATATGCACCGAAGAAGTGAATTTCCCTGGGGTACTGCAGGAAAGGGTAACTGGGTTTGAAATAAGTACTAGAGAGACATGTTTTGGCTAAGTGGATATTAAGATATTTGGCTCTATTAGATTTATGAGATGTTTGGCTGTGTTGGATAGTAAGATAATTTCTAAAGATTAGGACTTCAGAGTAGAGAGTAGGCTATTTGAGAAAGGGCATGAACCTCTCACCATCTGAAAGAAATGTAAGCAGAGTCCAGGAAACCATTTTTGCAATATTCCACTGAAAAGAATTATCCACAGTGAGGAACTTCTGGGGCTAAATGGTTTCCTAGGAATGTGCTACGTTACAGTGGGCGCTGATAGTTCCGCGGGGCGTGGCCCACGGTGAGGAGTCACCCATAGAAACCTTTCTCCTTCCCCCTTTCACATGGCCAACAGCTTCTCCTCTGTCCAGGTAGGAACTCATGTTTTCAGAGCTGGCGATGGAACGATGACCTTATGCCTGCCGGGTAAGTGTCCTACTCCTGAGCTACGCCCCCCTTCCTGTGAGCTTGGTAAAGGCGAAACAGAAAACTCCGATAATGGCAGCAACGGGAGGCTCAGCGGCCCTCCTCCCTCACTGACCGTGGCATCTGGGAACCAAGTGAGCCTCTGGGTTCCTACCTGGATTTAGGACTTTGCAGGTTTTGACGGCTCAGGAGTCGTGCGGCAGAGACTCGCTTTTTGTGGACGTTGGAAAGACCTGTGAGCAGAAGAAGAGGGGCTCTCTTGCCATGTGGTTAAACCGTTGCCCGTGAAAGGCTCCGGCTTTCCCTGGAGACCCTGCACATGCTTGCAGGCCTTCTAGAGCCAAGTAAAGAGACAGAAGAGAAGAGGCCAGGCGGCAGATGGACGAATGCAGAACAGAAAGTGAACGTGCTTGAGCTCAGTGGGGTGAGGATGGTTGTGGGGCCACACCACCACACAAGTGGAGAGCAACTCCCACGCACACGTGGCCCTGCATGGAGCTCTAATGTGGCGTGTTCACCTTGGGAAGATGACACTGGAGACCAGAGCAATGAAGCCACTTTCCCTGCTTTCCGGAGGAGATCTCCAGGCCTGCGCATCCTTCCCCGCTGCCCCGCGGCCTCCCCAGGTGGGCGGTCCAGGGTACCTTGCGTGAGTTCTGGAGCCTCAGCCACATAGGTGAGGCGGAACTTGTTCCTCTTCCAGCTGCGGTCGTTGCTGATGAGCGAATTGTTGGCCTTCTCGATGTTGACATCGTCGCCCACACAGAACACATCGCAGGCTGCCTGTGACACCGAGAGGGATTTGGGTGACCTTTTTCAGCTGAGAGGGGCTCCTGCCTGTGAACTCCAAGTCATGGGATGTATCTCACCATCTTTCCTCCCTCCATCCTGTCCTGCCTCCCTCCTTTCCTTCCTCTCTTCCTTTACCTCTCCATCCATCCATCCATCCATCCATCCATCCATCCATCCATCCATCTTTCTGCCCATTCATTAGCCTACATACCTACCCATTCATCCACCCATCTATCCATCATTTCTTCCATCAATCCTCCCACCACCCATCCACCCAATTTGTCCATCCATCCATCCATCCATCCATCCATCCATCCATCCATCATCTCAATCACCCATCCATCAACCACCCAGCCATGTGTCCATCCATCTATCCTGTATTTTTTGAATACCCTCAATGTGCTGAAGACATTTTATTTACCCCTGATTTTATGAGTTAACCTTTACTTATGATATAGCTCTGTATAGCATTTTATTTCTAAAATCAACATGCATAGAGGCTTAATATTAAAGAGGAAAGTAAATACTACAGAATTTCCTATTTATCTTCCTTGAAAGATTTAAAATATTATATGAAGACAAAATGTCTGGATGCCTGGATATAAATTTTTCTTTTGTTTTCTTTTAAATCAAGCTCACTCACTGTTCAATGTTAATAACCGTAAGAATTACTGTTCAGGGTTAGCATTGCTATTATTATTTTTGAGATGGGAATCTATTTCTCAAGTATTCTCAGATTCCTAGGCTCAAGTGTTCCTACCAAGTAGCTAGGACTACGGGAACATGCCACTACAGAATTGCTTTTTAATAAAAAAAAAAAAATTCCAGGGCAGTTTTACCAATGTTTGCCTGTTGATTGTAAAGCAATTCAAGTGTTCATTAATGGAAAAACAGATAAACAAATGTGGCATATCTATATGATGGAATATTATTTGGCCACAAAAAGGGAGGTAGCAGGTGCTATAACAGAGATACACCCTGAAACCATTATGGTGGCTGGCAGAAGCCAGGCATAAAAGATCACCTAGTCTATGCTTCCATTCATATGAACAAACAGAAGAGGAGTATCCAAAAGTACAGAGATTGTATCAGAGTGGCATGGAAGACCAGGTCAACAGACAGGGCTGATAGTGGTTCAGTGGGTTTTCCTTCTGGGATGCCCAGTACAGCTTGGCTAACTGATGCCAAAACAGTACAATGACATCAAGGGTGACAATCCCAAGCTCTCCCAGTTTCCTATATCTGGTTAGAAATCCAGGGACAGGCTGATGAACAGAGTCCCGTCCCAGAACTCCTTCTAGCACTGGCACCTCAGTTTCCCCTTCTGCTCTCTATCTGCCCATGCTTTTCAGATCAAAAGTGCCCAGTGGCTGACAGCAGGGTACACAATCCCAGGGCCCTCTCTCCTGGGGCTGTGGAGAGGACAGGAAGGAGCCGGTGAAGCTAATGGTGACATTCAAGTGCCTGCGCCAGGGTGGCCTGATTAACCAGGGCCCACAGGCGGACACAAAGCCACATTCCACTTCTCCTGTGACCTCAGCTTAGGACAATGCCACCAACAGGATGTCCCCTCAGGATGAGAACATTTTGCGTGGAAACCATTAGCTGGTTACGGTTGCTGAGCACAGAAAATGTGCACAGTGTAACAGAGGTGGAGTTTTAGGCTATGCTGTTATTTTTTTACTGTACATAGATAGAATCTGTAATTTTATTTATTTTTTGTGGTGGCAGGGATGGAAGGGAGGGAGTCAAGCATGCTAGGCAAATGCTGTACTGCTGAGCTACCCCCCTGGCCACCGTATTTTTTTGTGGGCCAACTCCTTGTCCATACGTGGCTTAAGGTATTGGATTCTGGGTGAAAGTGTGAGTTTGCAGGGCCCTCAGATTCACTGGAGCTGTTTAAAGCTGTATCCTGGCTGGATCCACAGTGGAAGTACCGGGGGTTCTTTCTCCCAAGTTCCTTTCTTGGTGCCTTCAGTGTTCTGCTTGCCCAGCGAGCACTTCTCCTTTGTTTTTCTTTCTTTTTAGTGGCATTTGGGGCCTTTGCACTGAGCTACATTCATAGCCCTTATTTTTATTTATTTATTTATTAATTTTTTAATCTTGAGACAAGGATATGCTCGAGCTGGGTTGGAATTTATGATTCTCCTGCCCTGCCCTCCCAGAGTTCTGGGATCACAGGCGTGTGCCACCACAGCCCGCCATACCTGAGTTCCTGAGCCCAGGTTACCTTGAAGACCTTTTTGGCCCAGGTCCGGAAGGCCTCTTCCTGCCCACAAAGCTCGTCCCCTTCCCGCATCTTCAGGATCCTCTCCCCGCCCAGCTCCTCCAGCAGGGTGTCCAC